CCATTCATAAGATTAGAGCTTTAGTGCCAAATGTGACACAACTTTATGAAACACATTACAGCCGCCACTGAATTACTCTCTCATCTCTCAAACCAATACCACAATTCAGTGTTTCATATATGATGTGTACTTTACTAAACCAAATAAGTTTTAAATAAAATCATTTGCTAAAGTATCATTTTATTGTAGGTTTCAATAAAAAAGTGAAGTGTTTTACTTTTATCTAAATTCTTGATCAAATATAAAAATTCTTATCAAGAATAAAGTTATTTTCAATTTTAATGTCCACTTAAATAGTATTTTAATTATATTACAAAAATGTATTCAGATTTAGACCCAGTGGTAACCACTGAAACATTGATAACAAGTGATCCAGAAATCCATTTGATCCCAAATACGACCACAAATATGACACACGACTCGAGGGACGAGTATTTGGCATTCTTTGAAATCGGGACCTTAGGTCTGCTGTTTGTGCTCATACTGATCGGCAATTCCTGTGTTTTGATGGCTTTAATAATGCGAAAACTGAAGATGAATCGCATGTATTACTTCTTACTGCACCTCATTATAGCCGACTATTTAGTCGCCGTTTTTAACGTGTTGCCTCAGCTCATTTGGGACATAACATACCGATTCTACGGCGGAAACATACTGTGCAAGGTCATTAAATACCTACAAATCTTAGGTCCGTATCTCTCCTCCTATGTACTGGTGATGACATCCATCGACAGATACCAAGCGATATGTCATCCGTTGACGAACTGTCAGTGGACTCCCGCCCGAAGTCAGCTCATGATATCGTTCGCGTGGATCATCGCTCTCTTGTGTTGTATTCCTCAGGCATTCATATTCTCCTACCAGAAGATACCCGACAAAGACGTGTACGACTGTTGGGGTACATTCCCACTACAGCCCTACGGGGAGCGCATATACGTCACCTGGTATGCCATCAGCTTCTTCTTCATTCCCTTCATCCTTCTCACCACAACTCACGTCTGTATCTGTCGTGAGATATGGCGTAACGTTCACCAGAAGAGCAAGAGTTTCAAGAGAGAGCAGAAGATCTTCCACCAGAACGACGACTTCGATCGCCTGTCCTCCGGGTCCTCCACTAATGAATCCATCGGTCGATCCACTAATCTGTTGGTGACTGTCGGCCGATCGTATCGGTTCAAAGGCAGGGGACGGGTCGAGGTGTCTGTAGATCGGGCCAAACCGGGCGCCGCCTATAATCCTCGAAGTCATTCGCTGACTGGTCTGACCAGAGCTAAGATAAAGACCGTCAAAATAACGGTTGTCGTCATTGTCTGCTATATCATCTGTTCCTCGCCTTTCATATGCGTTCAGTTGTGGGCCTATTGGGCGCCTGACGCTCACTCATCCACCTTCTGGAGTGGTATGTCTTATCTGTCGTCTCTTTTTGTAATTGATTTACTATTTCGTGATAAATGTGTTCAGAAATTATAGACACAAAGAGTATAGTAAGAAACCTTTGGCAATGAATGCACTCTTTGACTATTGGGAAGCGAATCAATGATTTCTATTACTTCAGTATTCAATGTATTTTATGAATCATTTGATGTCACAAATCATTAATCATTAGTTTCTTATTGCAAACAATCGTCGCTTCAGATACTCGATTCAAATCTTATTGTTTTCTTTCTTTTCATTCAATCTTAACATTTCTTTTGGGTTTCTTTAATTTAAATCTTTTCTAGTAATCAACGCTATATATAAAAAGAGTTCACTACTCATGAGAAAAACATATTTTTATGAAGTTTAATATTTGTCTAAAAATGTTATATGCAGAATTTCAATAACTTTCGTGTTTCATATGGAATATAAACTCATTTTTGTGATATTTATTAATATTAAAGGAAAGGAATGCTTTATTGTTCACAAGATTTTAAATTAATGTTTTAGTTGCTATTTGTTAACATCAAATCATTTGTTTTATAATCCTTTTGTTTATGTTTTGGAAACTCAGATAAGTTTTTATACAGTACTGTATAACTTAGTGTTAATATGCATAACATTTTTGCAACACTTTTATTCTTTACGTTGTAAATAAATATATTAAATATATAATAATTAAATACAGGCACTGTATTTAAGCTCAAATATAATGTTAATCTTTTGATGGGATAGATGTGAGGATTAAACCCGATTCTGGCGTTAATCTCACTGAACCCGAGGCTAACACCTTTGCAAATATTATGGAGACGTCCAGTCTCTCGTCATTTCAATCCATTTCGCATAATATTTTGCATAAATATTATTTATAAAAACAAGTTGTCATAGATATTACAGTTAATCAAGATTGAGTTGGTGTTTAATGTGTTTGCCTTTTATTAAATGAGATCTAAACTGTTACTTTAGTGGTTCACTGAATTTTTGTAGAGTTGTCCATGGAGATATATTCTAACAAAGTATTAAACAATTTTCACTTTTAGTCGAATAATTTTATTTTGAAATTTACTTTTAAAATTCAATATTTTTATAATATTATATAACTACATTATAAATGCTTACATGGTTTTTAGTAATTTATAAATTTTACACAATTTATATTAATAAACAATTATTTTTTATCAAATAATACATATTGTAGAAATTTATCAAATATTGTAGAATTATAAATATATGAAAATTAATTATAATGTATTCAGTATACCTAATGCTAATGTGATTTTTAAGTAAAATATTATTCTTTGTGACTTTATATTAAATTTATAATTATTATTCAGTTCAACAACATTAGCATATCATTAAATCTATAATAAGATATCTGTGATGTGAAAAAGTCAATTATAATAATTAGATTAGACGCATAATTATTTAATTGATTTTATTTATAATAAAATTAATGTTCAAA